CTTCATGGGAAATGCAGTTTCATGCAGTTGGTTTTCAATTATTCTTTTCAAGTCTTTTCTTTCAACTTCCTAGTCTAATCTACAGCCTTGGAATTTCCAGGAAGTAGGGGTGAAATTCAGAAGGTTCTGACAGGTTCTGGAGAACCGGTAACGGAAATTTTGAGTAGTTCCGCAAACCAGCAAATATCACCTTTGGGTGGCCCCAGAATAGGGTGGGAATGGAGATTTTTCAATATCCTTCCCCCAGGAGTGGGGAGGGAATGGAGATTTTGCAGTATCCTTCCACTGCCACGCCCACCAAGCCACGCCCACAGAACCGATAGTAAAAAAAATTGAATTTCAGCACTGCTCCCAAGAAAATTCTGACCCTGAGTACTTTTTTTTAATTCCTGCTTATTTAGATTAACCATGGACTTCTATTTAATGGGGATTAACCTAAAATAGGGTTAATAAATAATAAATGAAATCTTATCCCATACTTAAATCTTTAGAGGAGTGTTTCTAAAAACAATTTTATACTGATTTTCCGAGAAGTAAGCTCAATTGAATTTAGCGGGAGCAAGGAAACATATAGAGGAAAGGCCTGCCGTATGTTGCATTCCAAAACATTTATTTCTTCAAAATTACAATGTTATAGATACCTTTCGGACCTCCATGCAGAGGGAGACCCAGCTTGGCAGTGCATTGGTGCGCAACATAAATGGATTCTGAAGCTTATGCACAACTGTAAAGAGAGCTACATTAAAGAACAAAAAGGTAATTATATTTCTGTTTAGGGAAGTATCTGATCTTACAGTGCAACATTTCTCTTCCTTCAGTGTAAATATTTTTTTTTTTACTGTAACATTTTAATCATGGTTTACATTTGAACGGAATTCCGCAATGTTTTTATGTTTCCTTTCAAACTGGTACGTCTTGCAACCTTCATTATTTTTATAATTAAGATCGTTCAAAGTTAGGTTTAACACTAGAAGAAAGGGATTGTTTCCCACTCTTTCTCTTCCTTCTGCTGAGAAAGACAAGCAGTGGTAAAAAGACATCAGTTGCTTCTTTTGTGTTCATCCTCAGGCTTCAGTTCCGAAATACTGTTGGCAGAAAGTGTATTTTACTTATTGCAGTGTATGTGACCTTTATCATCTTGATAATAGACTTAATGAAAAATATATCTTCATTGAAATAGGCTTTATTATCTAAGTGTCTAAAATGAAACTATGAACAATTATGCAATAATGAAAGCTGAATCTGTTTTAATTTCATATCTTGATAAGTCAGCATGTTTTATTTGGGTCTTCCCGACCCCCCCACCCCCGTAGGCAGGAAAGAGACAGGTTTTTTTCATTGTTTTCAAGCTAAGGAGAACACACATACACAACACACATACACACACACACACAGAGTTGTTTTTGAATCCCTGGTTTTCAGTGTTCAGAATATCTAACAAAATGCATTTCTTTTGCCAGGCTTCGAATAGATTGAAAAAAAATTATGGCTCAATTTATTGTTAGTTTTTACTAGATTCTTTTATTTATGGTTATTATATTTGTTTTCTGTTCTTTATTTTTATTTTTTTAGTCTCCTTAAATGTTTACCAGAGTGGAATAATGAGGTATTAAATAAGTTGACAACCTGCAGCTTTTTCGACTTACACCAGAACTCTTAAAATAGAAAGGGAGGGGACAGGATTGAGTGCACAGGTACATGAGGGGCTTTTTTGTGGGTGAAAACAACAAGGGTGAAAACAACATCTCAACAATTATACTAAATAGAATGGCTTTACACTACATTAAACCATCATGTGGATTCCCATGTAATGGGTTTATAAAACCATTCACTAGTGTTGTACATAATTTTTTTTTCTTGGAATGAATTTACATATTATGTTAAATCTAAAACAAACTGAATTTACAATAACCAAAAGAGTACTGTCAGTCAGAATTCCCCATGCTGATTAATGTGATATTCTTCCATGTGATATTATAATTCTTCCAGTTTGGGAAGAATTATAATATCACATGGCTGCTCGGTCTGTAATTTTGTTGTTTTCATTTTTCCACTGGTAGTAGAATAAGGAAAAAGGTCTTCAGGCTAGCTCCTCCTGATTTGTATGTTATGAGAAACATGCGGATAGAAGAGTTGCACAATTTAGATAAACAGTTGGTGAGATTATTTGTTAAGAAAACTTGAATTAATCCTATTATTAATTATGAAGGAAAATCATAATTCCCTTACAGTGTGTTGCATGCTTTTGTATTGCGTACTTCTTTTTTAAAAGGTAGGCAAATTCTAGTTAAAAAAACCTTTATGTGAAATTACTAATATTTATACCTAAGGACTGGATAATCAGAATACAGTGTGGCTTTTTTTTTTTTGGCTTATGCAACATTTATATTCACCTTGCAATGTATAGTATATTTTTATTTGATCAGATAGACCAACATGGTCTGTGTTTTTTTTAAAAAAAAGCTTTAAAATGTGTTATCCTAGCAGCTGGTTCTGTTGTCTTTGTGCATATGGAGGAAGCGTTTTTACAGCTGTGGGGTATTTTATGTCTAACCCCTCTCCCCCACTCCTAATAATAAGAATATTTTTGTCATACCTTGTGATATAAAAAGCCTTTGCATGGTATCAAAAAATAACATGTTAATTATTGAAATGATTGGCAAAGCTGGTAAGTCTTCATCAGTTTAGCATAATTTCAGAGACTCTTTGAGATGATCGTTTCTTTCTTTTGATTTAATTTTAAAAACAATATGAACCAAGCCATGACTGCATCAGTATAAATCTGTGCACTATGAATTGTTAAATGCATAATAAAGGGAAAGCTAGGAAAACTCCTGTACTTCTTAACTAGGAGTTTTGTCTTGAACTCTGTGGAGAAATACCTTCCTAAATCCTGTTTAAATTAATCCAGTTCCAACTACTTTGTGGATCATGCAAATATTAAGACAAGCATTCAGAAGCAGATGCTGTATAACTTCACACGTTAAATGTGATGAATGGTTCCATTTCAAAAACTGGTAAAGTTTGCTTCTCCAGTGGCATCAAACAAACATGAAATCATACAACTCACTGCAACTTTCGTAAATGCTCTTAGTAGTAATTGCAGTTGGGTTCAGAATATTTTCTCATCTCTTGCAGATTGGAAACAGGAGGAGAAAATTAATGCACTGAGCAACTAGTTCTTATTTTCTAATCCAACTATATCATTTGATCCCAACACATTTGGAGGGGGCCAGGCGGGGGAAGAGTATTGTGGTTCCTACCTTCTCCTCCATTTTTGAGAAGCAAAGCCAAAGAATTGGCATCGTTCACATCAAAAATATCATTTTCCCCATGCAATTTAGAGATACCCCCCCCCCAAATCAGATCTAAATGAATACATAGGAAGGTTTATTTGGCACTATATTATTCACTTAAAGCATTAAAAGAAGCAATCGAGAAGCAACATAAATATTAAGAATAGGCTTTATTTCCTCCTTTCGTAAAAAAAAAAACAACTCATAATTTTTAAAAATTCCTTTACTACTTTTAAGCCATTGCATTGATACAAATTTAGTTATAATTGACATAGAATGACCTAAATTTGTTGTTAATTGCGAAGTCGTGTCCGACTCATCGTGACCCCATAGACAATGCTTCCTCCAGGCCTTCCTGTCTCCTACCATCTCCCGGAGTCCATTTAAGGTCACGCCTACTGCTTCAGTGACTCCATCCAGCCACCTCATTCTCTTGTCGTCCCCTTCTTCTTCTGCCCTCAGTCTTTCCCAGCATTAGGCTCTTCTCCAGTGAGTCTTAAATTTAGTTTCATTTAATTCTTGGGTGGGAGGATTTCCAGTGATGTAACTTAATCTGAGTTTGTTCAATATAAAGATGTAATTTGTATTTTAAATATATGTTAAAAGTTCTTTTTAAAATTGAAATAATCCTTAATAATAGCAACAAACACCACAGTGAGACTAAGTAGTCCTTTTAGTGTGTATTTTTTAAAAAGATTTTTATTAACAAACATGTAAAATGCACACACACAAAAATTAGACGTACGCCACATTTATACAATACAATACGAACAAGAACTTCCTGTTCTTTATAATAGCAATCATCAATCGATACCGCTCACCTTATATTATTTCCCCTTCTATTGTATTTCATTTGGATTTCACCATTCTTAACCCTCTTATTTTACTCATAACTATTATTTTTTGAGTTTTGTTATATTCCTTGATTGATTTTTGTTTCTTTCCTCCATCCACCTATACCATTTATCCCATATCTGGTAGAATTCTGATTCTTCCTTTCCCTGGATTTCTTTAGTTAGTTCATCCATTTTGGCACAGTCCATAACCTTTCTTATTATTTCATCTTCGCTTGGGATTAATTTGTTTTTCCATTTCTGGGCAAAGGCAATCCTTGCCGCTGTAATTATATGTAGTATTAAATACTGGATTTCTTTTTTGTATTTCACCGACATAATTCCTAATTTAAAAAAAAAAACTTCAGGTTTCCATTCTATTTTAACCCCTTGTTGTTGTCTCCAGCCAATTTTTGATCCTTTTCCAAGAAAATTTTGCCTCCTCACTTGGTGTGCATTTTTAATGTTCTCCTTTAGGTTTTAAATGATACAAGGTTATAGGGATATTTTAAGTGAAACCAGCATTTTAAAATGTATTATTACTTTAGATTAATTTTAACGGGACCTCCTTACTTTCTTGCTTCTGAAAATTGAAAGTCTCCCATTTGAAAGGAATCCTATCCTACTATTGTTGATGTAGACTTTAGGCATTGCCTGTTTGGTCAACGAGTAACAGTGGGTGGTCAGGCTGGAGCATGGGACAAGGGCCTGCTGTGCTCGAGGAAAAAAAAATGTTCAGAGGTGTTTAAAGGGCATAAGGAAGTTCTGCCCCCTTTAGAGAATCCAGCAGTTACAGATCAGTTTTTCTTCTTTGTATTTTACCCTTTGTGCATGCTCAGAATATGGCGCGCAAGAGTAAATACTGTGATTTTCCCTATCATTTTAATAGATAATTTAATTTTATCGGAATGGAAATTTATTCTCCATTTATTTTATAGAAAATAAAAAATTTTCATAAAAATCACAGAGCTCCATTATGTAACAATGCATCATCCAATACTGTGGTGTTATTTTCTTTTTATCTGATGGGGTTTTTCCTCATTTCAATGAAGATGTTCAAACCAGACTATCATATAATGGAAACAAAATGTAATAACTACTTTTAATGAGTGGCAGAGAGTATCTCTTAATATTAAATCTTATTCATCAGCTCTCTTCAACCATTTTCAACTGTCTCATTTCAATACATGATAAGACTGTGTAATTTTAGTGAAAAAGAAATGCAAGCTAAAAATTCGGGGGAGGGGGGGAATGATTGTGCAATCCTTCTTTTAACCCTAGAAGCACTTGGTAAACCTTTTAATAAACTTATTAGTAAATACAGTCAAACTTCTTTTGGAGATAGTGGCAATATTAATCACATTTTTTTTTATTTGCACCTATTAAATAACCTATTAAGTCAATCTGCATGTTACGTTCAGAGATATTATCATGTGTTTATTTTTCCAACACAGCTATGACTTTGCATGGTTAATAGCTCTACATTGGTTGAAAATTGCAATCTCAATAAATGTCATTGTAAGTAATATAACAAAGTGTTAAAAAAATTATATCAAGTTTCTATTCACATTTCTTAAAATCATCTTGATTAGAGAGCATAGTTTGTAGGCATACATTCTTCTTAATT